GGAAGTATATTCCGTAACTAATTGACTACGAAATATTCCGTAGCCACATAGCTACGGATTAAGATTCTGTAGCTATTTTGCAAATTCAAAAACAACTTAGATACACAAATAACAACGGTTAACCTTTCCATTATAAGTTCCGTTGTATATTAGCTACAAATTTTTATTGTGTAGCAAATTTTCGTCACAAAGTAGCTATGGATTTCTATTATTTAGCAAACTAGCTACGTATTTTTATTTCGTAACCGATTTTGTAGCCAACTAACTACGAAAATGGATTACATAACAAGTTCCGTAGCAAACTAGCTACAACCAACAACCACGTAGTATATTTCATAGTAAAATAGCTACAAATTTTGATTTTGTAGCAACAATTCAAGATTTAGCTACGAAAATGCAACTCCCTAGCTATTTCCGTAGAAAAATAGCTACGGCCAGCTATTTTGTAGCATATTCCGTAGTATAATATCTACATATTTTGATTACGTAGTAACTTTTTGTAGTTATTCCTAGTTTAGCTACAGAATGTAACTCTGTAGTCATTTCCGTAGCAAACTAGCTACGAAAAGCCATTTTGTAGCACATTCCGTAATAGAATAGCTACGGATTTCAATTCCGTAGCAAGTTTTCGTAACTATTTATGATTTTTCTTGTAGTGTATAAATACCAAATGCTACTAAAAACTCTCATCGTCTACTTCTTTCTTGTGTTATATTGCTACATTCAAGGTGTAATTCGGAATTTGCTAGGTTTAGATAGTATAAAAGAACAACTTCTAGTTGTATCTTGAAAAACAAACATCGTACAAATTAGTGTTAAACGCAAGTTTCAATAATTTCTTATTTATTTTCTACATTATTGTCATAGATTTCATTACAAATAATTGTCATGATATTCTATCATTTGTCTAATTTGTTAGGCCCACCATCCTCACATGTCAACAAGCATGTTGCTACCACATAGGTAGCATATATTTGCCGAAGATAACGTTGAATAGAGCTGCAACTTTTTCTAACGGTTTATATATTAAGCACCACACTAGTAGTTTTCACGACACATTGTAAGAAACACACTAGTAGTTTTCACGACACATTGTATTGGTAAAAAAGAATGTAAACTAATATCTTGGTTATGAGATATATTACTATATTCACCATATTGTAACTAATTCACTAATACCTTAATAAAAAGGAAAATGACATATTGTGGAACATTAGGCTTTTCGTCATATAATACATTTTTTTTTTCTAAAAAAAATATATAATATATTTTTTCTTCTAAAAACAAAGTAAGCTAACCGTTTGATTATATAGATATATCACTACGTTCGCCAACATTCTTTATAATCTACGTTAGCTTAAAACATGAAAATGTACATATCGCTAAAAGTGGCATATCTCTAGACATTATGGTTTCCTTGATACATAATACTTTGTATATAATAATATAAACCATTTTAAGCTATATCGTTATAGAAGAATTTTTGTTGATGTGTCACAAGAAGAATGTGTGTATGCCATGTGGAATGCCTTATTGAGCTTTGTTTTCGAATGTTCGTCTTTGGAAAGCCTTCGTTTTCCAGTGTGGCGTTCAATTGTGGGTTACTCTTCGGTTGGCTGCGGTTACGGTTTAGCTGTAATAAGAGCTTTTGATCTTCTGATTGGCGGTTGTGGTTGGATTGTTCAGCTAACACCTTATTAATTTTGTATATATGTAACTTTGTTTATGATGTCTTAATAAATGATGCATGTGGTCTATCAATTGTAGGTATCACTGTTGGAGACATGGGTTCACAAGGTATCATTTGATTAGTTAGTTGTAAAACTGATGCTGACAGCTAGAAGTTCAAGGGATGCCTTGTTCATTTACAGAAGCAATATGTATACATGAAGCTTTTTGAATTGAATAACCTTGATATGGTTTTAATGGATGAGGAGGTAGCAACATGTCATATCTAAGTTTTATCGTTTTTGTCTATATTTATATAGTTTTTTATCCTTTGTTTGTTAATATGATAATATTAGGGAAAACATATTTTTACTACTATCAAAACGGGTGTAATTAGAAAGTTTGATGAATTGTTGAAGGAAAGCGATGTGTATGCAATTTCAAATTTCTTTGTTGGTGATAAACTTGTTATTTTAAATACGGTAAGCCACAAATTTAAAATAATATTTCATAAAAACACATCCGTGAAAACCATGACAACTCGCTTCCTACGTACTTTGAGTTCCTTTTATTTTTCGAAGTTTGTAGATATCATTTTCGATGATGTTGGAGGAGTGTGCAGTTAGTAAGTAGTCATCATTATCGAGAACACACATCCTCTTTTCGTTTTGTGTTCTATTCCCTGATTTCAAATATACATGGTGTATCGTTTTGTAGATATCACTGGTGTTGGTGTTGTAACAGGGTATACTGATTTGATGTTGACTACAGAGGATGGTTAATCTACTAATCGTTTGAATTATAGGATTTGAGGTAATACACAATTAGATAAACTATTATACGTACTTTTTTAGGATGTATAATAAGAGACAAACTAATGTTAATGATTGTTTGTTGTCCAGACTTTAACGTATTCGTTGTACTCTGTGCGCTGAACATCCAGATGAACTTTCATATGTGATTGGTAATTTTGCCTACGGTTAACGATCATCAAGCTTGGTAGAGTTCGACAATGGCAAGTGTTATATCAATATGCTTTATATAATAGTTAAGATAACGGCTAAAACCCTCCAAGTGTTGGATTTATGTTTACTTTTACTTATACTCAAAAGTATACATACACCATAACTCATAATAAAAGTTTTACACATTACCCTTATTTCTTCAAAACTTAACCAATTGCAACAAAATTTTATATTACTCATGCTCCAAAAACCACTCCCTTGGCCACCATTCAGGCCAAACCACCTCCACCTTTACATCTTCTTCTCCTTTCATCACTAAATTCCCTGACCCTTTAAAAGCTTCCTCAACCCTAAGTACCCCAACCCCACTAGACCCAACAGCCATTGTCACCATTCCTACTTTCTTCCCGGATTTCATAGAGATTACTTCTGAACTCCGACCAACCTTTTGCTCTACCTCTGAAGAAAAAAAAGTTCAAAAAGATTAGTGATAATTCTTGAATTGGATAGTGATTTGATTCGTACCTTTTCCAGATTGATTGAGGAACTTGATTGGAACCAAACGTTTCCTGATAACACCACGATGATGTGATCGAGCAATGAGTTCTTGGCCTATGTAACACCCTTTCTCAAAGCTTATCGCGTTTAAACCAGCAAGATTGTACTCCAGTGGGATTGCCTCACCTAAAGAGCGTATGCGTATAAAACACTTTTTGATTTGATTCTGAAAACATTAAGCAAACCAAATGAAACGTGCCTTTTGGGATCTCAATCGAGCCTTCTGCAACTCCATTTTCTAATCTCCATAAAATGTAGTTTTCTTCTTTGGTTTCTGTATCACCCTCCACCATAGGTGCTACAATTGCAAATTTCCAGTCGATTACTATAATTTGTGAAAAAAACCATTGTTGGGAGAACTGAGAAGAGAAGTTACGTGTTGTATTTGAGGGAAAGATTCCTCGGAACCCTAAGCAATCCAATCGGGGATCTTTATGCCATTTCCACCCGATGCTATTTCCTTGTGAAGAACGTTGATTATGATTGACACCATATCGTTGCCAACAAGAGAAGGATTCTCCCACATTCTCGATATCAACCTTTGACCTCAATCGATATCTACCACAAGATAAACAAACAACAACCTCACAAAAAAAAAAAAACGATTGCAAACATACAGATTGATTATTGCAACTTACTTCTTTAGTGTCTCCACCAGCTCGTCCAGCACAGAACAATCAACATCAGCAAGAAGCTCCACTTCATCTTGTTCGAGTCTAGGTCTCGACCCAGACCCAATCGGGTCAAGCTTTTCATCGGGTCGGGGCGGGTTGTAGAGAAACAAATCGTACAAAAACCTCCCTTATGGTGTTAACATGGTGACATACAGAGACCGGGTAACCAAGATCGATTTCTCATCAGCAAACCTGCGGACATCGTTTGTCAATAAGCCTTGTAAGAACTTGATTGTGTCGGGGCCTCTGAACCGGATAACGGATCGGGTTTTGAGGAGAGAAGCCATTGGACTAACATTGTCAGGTTGGGGTTTCGGAGATGATGAGAAGTATTTGATTTTGAAATTAGGTTTCAAGGATGGGATTGAGGATTTGAAAATCTTCATTCTTTTTTATGGAATTAGGGGTTTTTGAACACGTGTTATATGGAATAAGGAAAATAATGTGGATTCACTTTATTGATTTGGAATGTTTACATCAACTTCATTGTCACATCAGCAAGATTGTGTAGAAATATCATTTTATGATATTAGCATTCATATACCATTGTAAAATTGTAATTATTTATTATCTTAAGTATAAAATCCAATTCGGAGAAACAGCAAATTAATATGTATATGATCAAAACATGGAAAACTACATTTAATTTGCACTATCCCATGTATAAAGATCAGAACAGGAAAGCAATGAAATCAAGGAAACATGGAATTTACAATCAATGAAATCAAGAAACATGGAAACAGGTAATTTACAATCATATATGCTATCGGGGACTCTTGTTTATCGACTGTTAATTTCTAATCGACATGGATTAAAACATGGGATAATCCTTCAATAATCACAAAAAAAGTAACTTCAGTTTTACGCCAATCATATCATATTGCAGGTAAAGAACTCGACGAAGAATAATTTTTTTAACCCCGTCCTTCGTAATAGTATATAAAAGAACCCATATTTTGCAATTTTTGCCATTAAAAATTGTAGTATTAAATATTTTAATCAAAAAGAAGGAACAAGTTAAGGAGGATATGATGAAGAACGAACAACAAAGATGAAGCAAAGCTGTGAGACGGCGTAGGGAGACTACGCCTGTGACATCCCCAATTTCACGGCCAGAAAATACCGGTTTAATTTATGTTTTTAAAATAATTTCAGAGTAATCATTTGATTAAAAGTGTTGCAGAATTTGTTCTCAGAAAAACATAATAAATATATTATCAAATCATTTTCGAAGAAATGTATTTTATTCATTTAAACCATTGGGATGTCATTGTCAATACAAAAAC